TTTGACAAAATCAATAATTTAAATTTTTTAATTGATAGTGGAGCAGAAGTCAGTGTTTTACCAAAAAATATTTTCAAAGGTAATGATAAAGATAACAATTTTTTATTAACGTCAGCATCAGGCAATAAAATTTCTACTTTTGGGAAAAAACTATTAAAAATAGATTTAGGTTTACGTAGAGAATTTCTTTTCGTTTTTATTATTGCTGATATTTGCAAACCAATATTAGGTGCTGATTTTCTAACACATTTTGGATTGCTAGTTGATTTAAAAAATAAGAGAATTTTAGATAACGAAACTTCACTAAGCTCAAAAGGTAAAATTATGAATATAGACAAAGTAGATTTTCCCAAACTTTTTATAGTTGAAAATAAATATACGGAAATTTTTAAAAAATACACTAATATATTTTCATCACCTAATTTTCATTTACCAATTAAACATAACATAGAACATCATATTATTACAGATGGACATTTACCTTACTGTAGACCAAGACGTCTAGATACACAAAAATTTAATATTGCCAAAAAAGAATTTGATAATATGATAGAATTAGGTATATGCCGTCCTTCTTCGTCATGTGTGACATCACCGTTACACATGGTGCCTAAGAAAGATACAGCCGATTGGCGTCCTTGTGGCGATTATCGTTTCTTAAACAAATTAACAATCCCTGAAAGATACCCATTATCGTTAATATCCGATGTTAACATTAAAATCCATGGATGCACCATTTTTTCTAAAATAGATTTAGTGAGAGCATATCATCAAATTCCTGTCGCAAAAGAAGACATTTTTAAGACCGCCATTACTACTCCATTTGGAGCTTTTGAATTTTTAAGAATGCCTTTTGGATTAAGAAACGCAGGAAATACGTTTCAGAGATTTATCAATGAAGTAACTAGAGGTCTTGATTTTATTTACGTTTATTTAGATGACATTTTGATATTTAGTAAAAACGAAGAAGATCATTTGAAACAGCTGGACATTCTGTTTAATAGGTTAGATTCTTTTGGCGTAAATGTCAATCCTTCAAAATGCATGTTTGGCGTCAAAGAAATTAATTTTTTGGGTTACAATATCTCTGCTAAAGGAATGTTACCTACAGAGGAAAAAGTTAAAGCAATAAAAGATTATAAAAAACCAGCTACTCTTAAACAATTACAACGATTTATAGGTATGATAAATTTTTACCATAAATTTGTTCCTAAATTTGCTCAAATTATTTGCCCATTGCATGAATTTGTTGCTTATCTTAATAAAAATAAATTCAAAAATATAGAAAATTGGCCTGAGGAATACGAAAGAAGTTTTAATGAAGCCAAAGACGCGCTTATTAAAGCCTCTTTACTCGTACATCCACAAGAAGGTGCCGAACTATCGTTAACCACTGATGCCAGCAATTCATGCATAGGTGGTGTATTAGAACAAACTATAAATAATGTTAGGCAACCATTAGCTTATTTCTCTAAAAAACTTTCAAAATCACAAATCAATTATAGTGTATTCGATAAAGAACTATATGCGATTTACATGTCAATTAAACATTTTAGACATATGCTTGAAGCAATGGATTTCAAAGTTTTTACCGATCATAAACCAATTGAAAGAGCAATCCATTCAAAATCAGAAAAATCACCACGACAATTTCGTTATATCGAATATATTTTACAGTTCACTAACAAAATAATTTATGTTGGTAGCAAAAATGTAAGAGTGGCCGATTTTTTAAGTCGTATTGAAGAAGACGAAATCATAAATATCAATGCTAAAAAAGACGGAATTAAAGGCAATGATATTGCAAATTTTAATTTACATAAAATTATTTCAGAACAGAAAATAGACATAGAATTAGAGTTCTTATTAAAAAAACAGAATTCAAGTAATAAAAAAGGAAGAAAATTTTTCTTAAGCAATGTAGAGGTTGAAACCCCAAAATTGAATCTTTGGTGCGAAACTTCAAAGGAAAAGAGCAGACCATACATTCCTAAGAGTTTACGTTATAGTATTTTTTTAAAGTTACATAACATAGCTCATACTGGATGTAAGGCCACTGTTAAATTAATAAATTCTAGGTATTTTTGGCCAAGGATGAATAAAGAAATTTATTCATGGTCAAAATGTTGTATTAATTGTCAAAAGGCGAAAGTGCTTAGACACACAAAATCACCTCTAGGAAATTTTAAAATTCCAGAAGGAAGATTCCAACATATCCACGTAGACTTAGTGGGTCCTTTGAAACCTTCAAGAGGTCATAATTATTTATTTACTGTTATTGATAGATGTACTAGATGGGTAGAAGTTTATCCACTTAAGAACATCAGTTCAGAATCAGTAATCAAAGTTTTATTAAATCAGTATATAACACGCTTTGGTGTACCAGTGTATATTACTCATGACCAAGGCAGTCAATTTGAATCTAGTATGTTCAAAGATTTTAGTAAAAGGTTAGGATTTCAAAGTATCCATACAACTACTTACCATCCTCAAGCCAATGGGATGATAGAACGTTTTCATAGAACACTAAAGGCATCGTTATCTGCAAAATTAATTTCGAATAATTGGTATGATGAATTACCTTTAATATTATTAGGGCTAAGATCTGCTATAAAAGAAGACTTACAATGTTCTTCTGCAGAATTGGTATACGGCCAAACTTTACGTTTGCCTGGTGAATTTTTCACGTCTTCAAATGAAGAGATAGATACTCATTCAATATTAATTAATTTGAGAGAAAATTTCAACAAATTAAGACCAGCTCCAGTTCAGGAACACGGTATAAGGAAAACATTTGTTTCTCCAGAATTAGAAAACGCAGAATACGTTTTCTTAAAAGTTCAAGGCATTAAAGCCGCTTTAAAACCTTGCTACGAAGGTCCTTTTAAAGTTATTCGTAGATCTGATAAACTTTTTACAATTTTAAAAAATAATAACGAATTAGTTATCAATATTGATCAGTTAAAACCTGCATTTTTATTATCGGATAATAATGAATCTATAAAAGAAGTTAAGAAAGTTACATTTGCATTAAATTAAATAGTTCATTATTTTTAGTTGTTTCATAATTTATATGTTATTTTTTTTAAGAGGGGAAGTATTGTAGTGCTTCGTACTACATATTACTCTTCTCTCTGTCATAATTACGTTGATAGATAAATGTTATAACCTTAAACCAGTCATCTCCACTTTGTCATTTCGACGTTTTATTTTTGTTATGTGAATGGCACTTTAGAATGTTTCGTGGTGGCATGAGACTCAATCCTGTTTCCTGCCAATGTCATAGAATTTCAAAGTTGATGACATTGGAAGTCACATCTGTTTTTGATTTGTGGTGTAGTAGGTGGAAAAACAATGGAGTGTGTGGTGGATAGCTGTGGAAGAAAAAAAAAAGAAAGAACAGAACACCAAGAGACAAGAAACATCAACAAATTATTATTTTTATTATTTTTATTTTACATTTTTTGAAATAACATGTTCTTGACCTTTTTAATAAAAGAATTTTAAAAAAGAAATTTTAATTATATAGTTATTTTGGTACAGAGAATACCTATACAGCACTAATAATGACTGACCTTAAGTAAACTTGCAATAACTCTCTAATAATTGATATGGCAACATTGTATTTCTTTTAGGCACATGTCACACTGCAATGTCAATTGTCATGGTCGTAAATTAATAAAACTGTTTATGAAAAAATTTGGAATGGTTTATTGCTTTATGGATGATCTAGTATTATTATTATTACTTAGCAGTTTCTATAACAAAAAATTAATCAAAATGACGTTGTTCAAATTTTTTCAACATCAAAATTAGAGGACACATTTTAAAGTTTTAAGGTAAGAAAAAAATATTTTAAAGAATTTGCAGGGCAAAAAAAAATATTTTGAAATGTGTTTCAGAGGGTCTCAAATAGTTAAAAAAAAATAGCCCGTTCGACTGTTGGCGTATTTTCCCCCAAAATTTACAAAAATGTACAAAATGTACAAAAATGTACAAAAATGTACAAAAATGTACAAACATGTACAAAAATGTACAAAAATGTACAAAAATGTACAAAAATGTACAAAAATGTACAAAAAGTCCAAAAAAGTTCAAAAAAGTCTAAAAAACTCTTTAAAAAAGTGTTTAAAAAGTCTTAAAAAGTCTAAAAAAGTCTAAAAAAGTCTAAAAAAGTCTAAAAGTCTAAAAAAAAGTCAAAAAGTCTAAAAAGGTCCAACAAAAGATCCTCTGCGCGTTCACCATTCGGTCAATAAAAATAATTTTGAATAAGGAGCTTAAAAATTCTGTCGCGTTGGGTCAGAAGAGATATAGTCATCCTAAATTATAGGGGCGACAGTCAAGGTGGTTGCCCGATTTTAATATGTTCCTTCCGCCGGCACTGCTGACTCTAAATTTATTTATGCTAATAGAATATACATTATAGAGGCGAATTCAGTAAAAAAGAAAATAATAGTAAACATTTGTTCGTTTATATTAAATCGCATTTTCTGCAAGTGAAAATTAATGATTATGCAGAAAATGCAAATTAAAAAAAAATGTAATATAAATATTGAGACGGTAAAAAAGAGGAAATAATCAATGGAGACCGAAGCAATGCATTTTTTTTTAATTGTCATAAGTTATTCAAAAACTCAAAATTTGCATTTGCGCCATTGTTATTACCAGTGCGATCATGTTCTTATTTTCAGTAAGGGTGGGTTGTGCAATAGGCAGTTAAAATATAATCTAGGTTTAAACTGTGAACCTGGTATAATCATCGGCGAGTTGTACAAAGAAAGCTGTAAAGTCAGTTTAATTTGTAACTGGTTGAATTTAAAGCATAAATGTCTATTTAAAACTCTGTTTAACAATAATAACCGATGACTATACAACGAAGTTCAAAGTTTGAACTAAGATTACATTTTAATTGCCTATTATATAACCCATCCGCCTACTTACAATACTTGTTATGATTTAAATTATTTATAATTTAAATTAGATCGATATTTTTTGGTTACCTCATGAATGATGACGCAAATATTTGCTAATTTAGTAGAATTTTCTGCGCCTACGACACTTTCCAATTCCGTTTCTGCCACAGAAAGCAGGGCCTCTTTCGGCCATTTTTCGAACCAATCAATTGTGCAACAGTTTACCAATGACGGGAACATACGACAACGCCGCCTAAAAACGAAATTTAAGCAATACAAAAATTGTACCTATTTTTAAAAAAAAAAGGAAAATACAATTTCAACTTAAATGTGGCAAAGACTTAAAAAAATAAATGAAACAAGGCAATATGTCACAGAAAATACTAGCGACCATTTCCTTTCGGAAAACAACTATTCCTTTGGCTCATACCGCAACAGGCATTGAATTATATCCAAAGGAAAGTCAGTAGACATTGAAATTTCATTTCAACCTTTGATTTTGTATTACTAAGGAGAACGCAATTCTTGGATTGGTTTTGTTCTTATTAGGACTCATCATCAAGAAATAGAATTATCAAAGGCACCAAATTCACTAGTATACAATAAACGCTGTTAAGTAGTGAAAATAGTAACGCCGTCTGGTCACAGAAAGCAAAATCAAAGGTCGCTAATAGTACCCAGTTAGAAAACTAGATGGAACTAAAAGCCAGACTGGTAATTTTCTATCTCTTTTGTATTTACTTTGGTCATAATTCAATACCTATTGCGTTATTAGCCAAAGGAGTAGTAGTAGTCACATTTGAATTGGAATTATTATATAAAAGTTACTTTTTTCTCTAAAATAACTTTTTTCACTTTACGCACTTCGTGGAGTCTTTTAGAGACTTCGTTTTGGTCTAGTAAATCAACTTTCTCATTGTCTTTTTTCCTTCCAAGGCACCTAACAGACCCTTAATGGAAAATACATATCGAGAAGATAACAATTGGTTGTAGATAATACTGAGTTAAATCGCGAATAATATTTTATAAATATCAAATACAAAATAATAATTGTGTCGAGGTCCAACGGAAAACAAGAAGCAAGAATAGGCAATTTAAAAAAACTTCCTTGGTCACATATTCTTACCTAAAAGCGTCACCAACAGGACTCATACATAGGACCAAATGCAGTTTACTTCGAACTCTACTAATAAAATGACTGTATACCGCATCTCTATTACTTTCATCGATACCAGCATCTTTAGCTGATTGAGTACAGCCTATTACTACTCTTTGCTGTTCTTCTGCTTCATATAAATTTGGAACTTCGCCTAAAATTTAAACCAATTTAATTAATTTCGTTTGTAAAAGCAACATTTTTAATAGTTATGGAAATAATTATTACTTATTACTGTTCAAAAAGTAGTATACTACACATAAAGAAAAAAGTTATTGTTATATTATCCTGTTACTACTCATAATTAAAAACTGTTCTATACTTAAACCGCAAAAGGAGTGCAATAATAAACAGCAATATGTGGGATTTTTCGTATAAGTATTAATACCAATTTTAACAGAAAGAAAATATTAATAAATAAAATAAAAAACAACAAAATGCCTTATGTTGGACTAACAGATGTGCAGAGGGGAAGAATTATTATTCTCATTAAACAGAGAATGTTTCAATAAGACATAGCAGAAGTAGTAAGCGATACCCAGAGTGTTATATCCGAGAATAACGATCAAGGAGAAGCGACAGCTTGGTGTTTTTAGCGTACCGTTTTATAACGCGCATGTGCGAAAATAAGTTGTGTATCACTCAAAATGATGTTATCTGTCAAAGTCAGTCCAAGTTGTGTTTAGTACGTGAGCAATGTTAAGTGATATTTTTTGGTGTTTGTTTTGTGTAGTATTAAGATGAAGATTTTTACACACTTAGGTATTCTAATGCAGATATAAAATGTGCCAAAAAAGTTACTAGGAAACTAAGAATTTTATCACATGCATAAATATTAAGTATAATGATTTAATCATTTTTGACATTTTATTTTTCATATGTAGGTATTGTATTTTGTGAAATATGTTTTCTTCTTTTAAATAAATTTAATAAACAATTAACTGGAGATTTTGTTTATTTTATTTTGAAATTATATTTAAAAAAATATAATAGATCCGCATGTTTCAATTAGGATTGGTCAAAATGGGCGAAATCCCTTTATCATGGCTTAATTGTAAGGTACAATTATGTCAATATAAAGATGTTTTGCCCATTCATATTTACATTTGTTAAATGAATCATACTGGAGTTGATTTTGGAAATATTGGTGCATACTTAAATATGTACTATTTCAAAAAAATTGTCTATGCCCAGACAGCACACATAGTCCAATGTACGTCCACTTTAGATCTATTTGAGGGTCAGGACGTCCATATCCGGGCATCCAATGTACGTCCGTTTATGCTAATTAAATTGACAGCTGAATATTGATACCCAGAGAACGTCTGTTTTTGGACTTAATTTTAAGTTTAGTAGTATTTTGACGTCCAGTGGACGTCCATCTTAGGTCATTATTTATTAAGCCTACCAGATAATACTCATCTATAATATATTCTTCTTTTTTTAATATAACTGGTCATTAAAAATTGACAAATTGAATCTATTGCATTTCATTCTATCAGCGGAAGTTTGAAATCTTATTCAATTATAACTGTATCTAGTAAAACGTTTTCAAGTGGTTCCTTGGTCGAGCTCGTCTAGCTATTGAAAGGGTAAAACGATAATGGATGTGTCGTGAGTTCGATGCCTGCTCAGATCAAGCTATTTTTAATAAAAAAGAAAATGGTGCATAGCGATTTGCGAAAATAATAAACAAATTATTAATAATATAAAATAGTATGTGATAAGTTGCGGTTCTGTAAAAAAAGTGGGGATCTGGTCTCAATGGAAATATAATCCTGGACGTTTTTTGAATGTTCATTATTCGACGTCCAAATATATTCCAGAATTGAACGTCCTCTGAATGGTCAAAAATGTGCCATTTGTAAACTTCACTGAACGTCTATTGGATGTCGGAAGTCCAGAAAAAACTCATTCTTGGACGTCTAGACATCCAAAATTGTATATCGAATGGACGTTCAATGGACATATTTCTATTGTCTGGGTGATAGCCAGGCCAGGTATTTAACTCTAAATACATAAACCTTAAATGACATCTTGCTTAACTTGGCGAGAAAACACTTGTTTATACAGAAATGAGTGATAAACTTGAAAGTCCTTTTAATATAATATAAATCCAGAAATTCTAACAATATGTAAGTTCTTTTTAAACCTAAACGTTTTTGAAAATATAATCACATTGCAAATATTTAGTTAAATATCTTAAACCTAATGTCTTTTTAATTGTTACCTAAATTTTTTTTGGCACCCTTAATTTTATTTACCTTATTTTTACTTAAGGAAAAGGTAATTTAATTTAAATATGGGGCTTTTATTATATTTTTAACAATAAATAAACAAAATATTGAACAAATTTTATAGATAAATTATAAAATAATAAACGTCTTTTACTTTTATAATAAATAATGAATTATTACATAATGAATTATATTTTGGTGCTGAAATTTTACCATTGCTATTAACCCTAACTACTTCAATGTAATTAAATCACATAACAACATTTGCGCATGGACTATAACAATGATTTCAGATAATTTGTCAAACTATTTCGTTCAGTGTAGAAAATAAGCATGTTTTCTCAGCGTGCTAAGTTGTGTATCAATCAAAGTCATGCTGTGAAAAAGGTACATCCGATATCAAAGGCACCGACAGCTACTGTCGCTTCTCCTTGATCGTTATTCTTGGGTTATATCGAGAACTTATAAAAGGTACTTGGAACTAGAAATTCTCAAGAATACGACCAGACAAAGTCGTCAAAAAGTCACAACTGAACAAATTGCTAGAAGAAATCACAGTGTATTTTGTCCAGAACTACAACGACAACTTCTGAAAGCTACAGGTGTACCCTTAGAAAACCCTTAGAAAAAGACCGCGCCCGAGGGTTGTACAGTAGAAGAGAGATACGGATCCCACCGTTATCTAGTAGACATGGGTAACGCAGCGCTGCGTTGCGTTATTGCGTTAACGCAGTTGTATGCGTTACGAGCGTTGATACACCAGCTGTTACTGTATCAGCGCAACGCAATTTTCGATACTTTGAGTCGAAAGGATCGCGAGTTGTTGATGCGTCATGCGCCAGGCACTGATTCCGTTTTCCGTGACGAGTTCAGAATTTTAATTTACGTAATTGATGCAACTCGTAATGCAGATTACCCAAAATCTATCAAGTAATTAAGTTCTTTGCAACATGTCACATAATTTGTAGGATTGTAGGTCCAATTTTATGGATTTTAACCTTGTACACTGTCAGTTTTTAGTTCTTCCAATTTTGATTGGCTACTAGTATGCAAAAGTTATATCCTTTTTATATAAATTGGAATTATTGTATTCTTTGTAAAATCCGAACACAATGAAATAAAAAAATGGGTGCATTACACTATTATATTTTCGTTTATTTTTATACATATAATAAAAAAAAAAAATTAGGTAAATTCCCAATTGCGTTTGACCCTTATGGACAGCCCGCGCTGAATAACACACGTATCATGCGATACACCGAAGTGCATCGACTTCATTCGGCGCAGGCAGTGGTGTGACGCAATAACGCAATTGCGTTAACGCAATGAGTTGGCGCAATAGAGTGCGCCGGAGTTAGTGTATCAACGCAAAGAATTTTAGTGCGTTACCCATGTCTATTATCTAGGCAAAATAAAATTGACCGGCTAAATTGGTGCCTTCAACACCAAAACTGGACAATTGAGAAATGGCAAAATGCTTTTTATTGCTAAGCGACTTCCCGTACTGGGCGAACAAGTGGTTCACCTTGATAGTTTTGCATTCAGGCGTCGAGTAAAAATTAAGGAATGCAGTTACGTTCGGTTGGTTACGTCACAAATGCACACGTGTAGGTTAGCATACAGGTACGACGTTTATATTTAAATTCTCTACGGCCTTTTTGTGTGTAGTCCTTTTAATTATAAAAACAAATTTATTATATCTTAAAACCTAAATTTAAAATATACTACGTCTATAGTGTTATTTGAATCCCACATTGCACTGTTTTGTTTTAAGAATAGGTAATTATGATGTTTTTGGCTAACCTGAATTCAAAAGATTGTTGACATCTTCTAGAAATTCCTCTTGTACAATTTGCGTGTCGGTAAATAGAAACACAGTATTTTGAAAGTTGACTCCAGCGTGGTAACACATTTTTCGTAAATCATCAAAAAATGATTGGTGATCGTAATTTCTTGTCAATTCAATTTGGAAACATCTAAAAAATGTCTTTCATATAACTAATTGTTTCAATACAAACTATATAAGGAATTAAAATACCAGGGGTACCTTGAGGAACAAGATGAGCTAATATATGAATGGTGTTATTAAATCATCGGAAGATTATAAATCTTAATCATAAAGGTAGTGCTAATCTTAAAGTTATAGTTATGTGTCTTGTTCTAGTAAAACTATATGGGAATAAACCTAAAAAATTATTAAATAGAATAATTCTAAATAATGAAATAAAAATTAAGGTTCTTCCCTTAGAATTATTATTTCCTAATAAAATTTTAAATTCTTTATGCAAAGTCGTAATAATTTTTATTCATAAATATCTTAAACGAGATGGGATAATCCAAAATATTGGTGGAATAATTATTATCCCAATTAAGGTTCTTATTACTATTACTCAACATGTGTGTTTGTTTTTTGTTTTGGTTTGGTTTTTAATATTGTTATTAATTTGCCGTAAGTAACCTTCTTAGTAAAGTATTCGCAGTGACCTTGATCTAGAAATGGCTGTGTATAAGTGTGACAACTGTCTTAAGGAATTTTCTGAAGAAGACAAATATAATAAACTTCGCTGCAATGGTGATTGTCGACGTTCTTTTTGTATGAACTGTACTGGCCTGGATAAAGCTACTACAAAAATCTTAATATTACAGAAATTTATTCACATACGATTCTTCTGTACCCTCTGTGACTCTCCAAATTTAAGATACCTTAATGATAAAATTTCTAATATATCAAAGAACCAGATCCCCCATGAGATTTTTGACTCGCTTGCTAATCGTATGAATCAACTAACAAATAGCGTACCAACTATTTCAGAGATGTACGATATTTTATTAAAAAACGAAAACAGATGGAGTCTTTTGGAAAAGAAAATCGACGAAATTCATAAAATCTCAGAAGTATTTACCATATTTAAGCCAGATCTATTGCAGAAATCATTAAGGGAAATGGAACAGAATATATTTAATATTTCTTCAATCTTCTTAAATAATACCGAAGAGACAATAAAAATAAATGTACAGAACACTTCAGCCCCAGAAATTAAAATGGGGATCGAAAGCTTGGAAAAAAAACTAATAAATGTTTCAAGCCTAGTTCAGGAGTTAAACTCCAAAATTGTGTCAAATAAACAAAATATTCAACCTAAAAAAAGACAATCTATCTACACCACATCGTCTTCTACGCAAACCATAACGACTCCTGACGCCATAACGACTCCTGAAGCGTCCAATACCTTAGAAGATTCTAAAGCTCCAGTCTGTAGTCTTAATCAAAAGTGGCATTACGTAGTAGTTAGCAATCTTCCTTCAGGCTCTACTCTAAATCACGTTGTGCATTACATCAAGGAAAAATTAGGTTCTAGTGAGTTTATTCGTTGCTACCCCTTGATCAATAAGAATAATGAATCTAAGGAAACAACATTTAAAATAGGACTGCAGTCAAGAAATTCCGCACAAAAACTATTAAACAACAATATCTGGCCGGCTGCAGTCTCAGTTCAATGGTCAGTCGAATCCTCCGCTCTCCCAAAGGCTTCGACTTCCCCTAAGACATCGACTCCCCCTAAGGCATCGACTCTCCCGATGACATCTACTTCCCCAAAGGCTTCGACTACTCCAAAGGCTTCGACTCCTCCAAAGGCTTCGACTCCTCCAAAGGCTTTGACTCCTCCAAAGGCTTCGACTCCCCCTAAGACTTTGACTCCAACGTACACTCCGCAGCAGAAACAGAATAATCACAAAACCCTTGCTGATTTGGATTATTCTTTAAATAAAAGTATATGCCCAAATCAACCTGAAGTATTGACCATCTCTTCCGACAAACATGCTATCTCAGCTTGTAAATCCAACAACTTCTCCTATGGTAAGTCCTTACAGATCATAGCAGAATCACAAGACAACACAAATAACTCGCTGGACCCGTTGACTCCTCCTAGAGTCCGACTAACAAAAAAATCGTGTATCGGCAATGGTCGTTATTTGATGGCTAGACTAAGAGAACCGGCTATTTTATCGTCCCTCAAGCTCTTCCTCGCCTATCTTCATGACCAACCATCATCTGTCTGCCATGAGGGCTACACGAACACAAGTGTAAAAGTGTTTCTAGCCTCTGAGGGACTGCCTGTTGATCCTGGAGCTTTACGGACCATTTATTATGATTATCATGATCTATATGGTATTGGCTCAGCTGAAGTGGATAACGATCTCTCTACCTACAGAGCATATATATCCGCGGAACGAAGAATACACCTGCAGAAGCAAAGGGAGTACAATCATCGTTATTTTACTGCCGATTCACCTAGGAAAAAATTTTTAATTAATACGACGTGTCCTGGGGAACTAGAATCCCCAACTAGTCTTACTGGCTATGCCGACAGTAAATTAAGAATGGTTCTAATTAATATTCGATCAATACGGAATAAGACTGATGAATTGTATTTGTTTTTGGAAGAGTTAGGGTTTCCCCAAATAGTTGCTATTACAGAACACTGGTTACAAGTTGGTGAACCAGTTTTTGTCGAAAAATATACTATCGTCAGCAGATATGATAGAAGTAATACAGACCATGGTGGAACTCTAATTTTTTCCTTAGACAAGGACTTTTCTGCTGTATCTAAATACGACTTTCTACAAGCTGAAAATTTCTTCGAATTTTCCATTGTAAACAACAAAAACATTGATTTGTTTATTATTTGTATTTATAGAACACCTAAATCAAATGTTCACCTCTTTCTAGAGAATCTTCTTAATCTACTTGACGCATTGCCTATAAAAAGTAAGAAAATTTTATGCGGCGATTTTAATATTGACTTTGCTAATGTATGTGCTACTCAAAAGTCTTTGATCAATATTTTTGAATCATTCAGTCTCACTATGCACGTAAATTCTCCAACTAGAATCACAGAAACAACATCTACAATTATAGATTACGTAGTCTCTGATTTTAAACCCGTTGATGTAGAGCACCAAGTAATTAGCTCAGGTCTCTCAGACCACGAAGCAGTATTTGCCAAATTTTTGATACCCCGTACAGCTCCAAAAAAAGTCCGTCAGCTAGGTAGAATTTCTATAATTTATGTCTAACTACTGATTGGAATGGTCTTTCTGAAGATATTGACTCTAAATTTTTAGACTTCTTAAATAAAATAATTATGTGTTTCAATACAGCTTTCCCCCTTCGCCCCATTAAAACTAAATGTCATAAATCTTGGACAACTAAAGGAATAAGAACATCATCTAAAAATATGAGGTCACTTATGTATATTAAAAAGTACACAGATAATCCCCTAATATTAAACTATATCAACAACTACAGAATATTGTATCGGAAAATCACCAAATCTGCTAAGAAAAACTATTACAAAAATCGCATCGCAAGAGCTAAAAACTCCTCTAAAGAAACCTGGTCTATAATAAATGACTTAAGGAATAAAACCCGTTCTTCAAACAGTGTAAATCCTAGCCCAGATGAACTAAACAATTATTTCGTAAATGTAAGTAAAAATATCAAATCTAACATAGCTCCGAGTCAGGATGCTCTCTCCTTTCTCCTACTTACTAAAAGGATCACTGAAAGTTTCTTCCTAAGACCAGTAGACAAGCATGAACTAGTGCAAACCATAAACAACATCCAAAATAAATTTTCCTGTGGAATTGATGGCCTGTCCACCAAAATATTTTTAAATATACCGGATGTAGTAATCAACATTTTAACTTCACTGATTAATGAATCCTTTGAAATTGGTCTCTTTCCTAACTGTCTAAAAACAGCTATAATAATCCCACTTCATAAAGGTGGCGACAAAACCAAAACCTGTAACTATAGACCTATCGCGTTATTGCCTACCTTATCGAAGATAGTAGAACGGCTAATGAAAAACCGTCTTTTGTCCTTTCTTTTCAAGCATAACATCCTCACAGCTCATCAGTATGGCTTTCTACCTAAAAAATGCACTAGCGACGCAATGTTTTCCGTTCTTAATGAAATATACACATCACTTAATGATAAACTTTTCACCGCTTCAGTATTTTGTGACTTCGCAAAGGCCTTCGATTATGTAAATCATGATATTTTAATTAATAAGTTACAAATTTATGGCATACGGGGTTCTCCTTTACAATGGTTTAAAACTTACCTAGAAAATAGAAATCAACAGGTGCGGGCGAATGGTGAGGATTCTACAAATCTAGCAATAAGCAGTGGAGTACCTCAAGGATCAGTATTAGGTCCAATTTTGTTTTTATTATTCATCAACGACATCACAGACTTAAGAATAAGTGGTAGAATTACTTTATTTGCTGATGACACCAGTGTAACCTGGAATAATTCTAACATGCAGACATTACAATCTATCATAAGTGAAGATCTAGTGACTATTAAGTCCTGGTCTGATTCGAATGGACTTTGTTTCAACACCAGTAAAACTGTAGCATTGTCTTACAGAGGTACTTTACAACCTATAACTTTAAACAATAATCTGATCCAAACGGTGACTTCAATCAAGTTTTTAGGTCTTTATATAGACGATTCTCTAAAATGGTCTGCTCATATAGATACCTATGCAAAAAAATTATCCTCCGCATGTTTTGCCATTAAATCGGTTTCTAAAGAGCTGACTCCTTCTACTGCATTAATAACCTACTTTTCCTTATTCGAATCTCACCTTCGCTATGGTTTACCTTTCTGGGGTTCTTGTAGCTTATACCTTTTCGAATCTATTTTTAAACTGCAAAAAAGAGCAATCCGCTATGTATTTGGTTTAAGTAGTAGGACACATTGCGAAAATTACTTCAAAAATTTCAAAATTCTAACCCTTCCTGCTCTATTTATTTTCGAATCCGTCTGCTTAGTTCGCAAGCACATTCAAAATTTATCCGAAAGACCGACTCGTAGATATCCTACAAGAAATTTAGAGACTGATGTTTATTTAACAATGCCCACTTCTGACCTATTAAAACATTCCATTACCTACAATACCAAAAAATTGTATAATAACGTTCCGATGCAATTAAAATCTATAAATACATACGATAAGTTCCGAAGACTGGCTAAAGCTTTTCTTCTAGAAAGACCATATTACACAGTAGCAGAATTTTATAACGTACCTTAGACATTTGAGTTCCACATACAATGGCATTAATTAAATAATTAAATATTAAAGTTTAAATTTAAATTTAAATTTAAAAATTAAATTAGAATAATTATAATGACGGATATTGCATATCCATTGCAATTGTTATTCCTATTTTGTCTGTTTGTTTCTGTTTATTTTTTCTGCTGTTTAGTTATTTTTATAATATGTTTAGTATTTAAGTTACACGCTTTGTCTATAAAATTTTTGTAAATTTTTTTACGACAATAAAGCATATCTCTCTCTCTATTCAATTTAATGATAAATTTTAATAATAAATAATTAAAAAGTTCAGTATAATAATTGAAAGTATAAGTATATAACTAAATTTATCCTGTGAACATGGCAAGATATTGAGTTGCGAATTATCTTTAATTTTTTAATTTGAATAATACTAAACCAAATATACTTACGTGTAGCCGCTTACATGAGACGCCAGTCTGGTTAAACTTTGCTTTCCCATACCACCGACACCTACCAAGAGAGCATTACCACGTTCTGCTCTTAAAATTCTTGCTATTCGGAAACAATGTTCAATTGCCATCATAAAGAAGATTAATTTCATTTCTTTCGGAGTCGATAAGTTATAATCGTCCAAATAGTCCTAAAATTATATTTTCATTTAATTTTGATTGAAGATACACGATTTTGTTGGTTAATTATCTCTGGTTCCATTCTTCTTTATAAAACTTTTGCTGATGATGTTTCTGCAGTGGTTATATTTATGGAAATAGGCTTGTCGAATATAGTATATTACATTACGAGTGTGGAAAGTGACATTTTTCACACGAGTGGGAAATATTGTCGCACGAGGCGTAAGCCGAGTGCGACTATCACACGAGTGTGGAAAATCACTTTTCACACAAGTGATGTACAATATTTTTCCTACGACCACAAAATAATTTCATCAAAAAATGTAAAACCAGATTATTATAATAATTAAAATGTATTTAAAAAAATAATCAACAATAATCGTATTTATTAAATTTTCATAATTTCTAAACAAATAAAAAAAAATAAAAAAAAAAATAAAAAAAAAATTCTGGCACAGCCAGGATTCGATCGCGGTCGTTGGACGGTCTCAAATTGCAAAGTTGATGCTCTAACCAACTGAGCTAACAGGCCTTACGGTAATTGATTGATCTAATCGCTTATGTGTTTAACCAGAATAAAAAGCAAATATATCTTAGTTATTTTAAAATTATTTTAAAAATAATTGTTAAAGATAAATATCTAGGATCTAATTTACAATAATTTAACAATCATATCGATTTTAGTATTAATATGGACATTACATAGATCAAAATAGAAATTATGTGTTTGACATTTTCTGACAGCTACTGCGGAAAGTAGCATATTCTCACTTGGGTGGAAAGTAAATTCTTATTCATACGCGTGTGATATAGGGCACTTTCCATAGGTCTATATAGTGTGATATGTGTCACTTTCCTAAGTGGTCGTAGGAAAAAAATATTTTTAGATTTAAGAATCCGAGTAGTAGTTATCGTACTACGATTTCATCCAATATGGTGGCCATGGTAAGCAGGTCATATGAAGCAATATTATAAGACAGAGCTAGAAAGTGTCTTCAAGAAGTCTGTATGTTGAAAACTTTGAAAGGGAGAGAATATTGTAACAAAAATAGTTTTTCACTATTTCTAACTAAATCATGTGGTGATATTAGGCGACAAAGATTTAAAAACTAACCGAAAAATATGAAAAAAATAAGTATAATTACGTAAAAACGGATTATGGTCATCCATTTAAAAAGTTTAATTTCTTACCTGTAAAATGCGTTTGATTTTAGGAATTTCTGGACATTCTTCGTAAAATTTCTTTTCGGCATCAGCGCTCGAAGCAATGAAATCTCCGAAGAGTAGAATTGGAGGATCATTTATTAAAGGTCCATCGGGTAATTCAATTACGGAATTATTGAAATTTCTAATGCATATCTCTCTCATTAATAAATAGAAATACGATTTGTCTTCAGTGTTGATTAGTCGATCGTGGAATACCTATTAAAGAAAGAATACCTGTTAAATTGTATTTCAATTCCTTGCGATTGTGTAGAATATTTGCAATTCTTAATTATTTTAAGACATTAGTTGCGATTCCCAAAAAACAAACGCTATAGTATGGTGCTATTTGTAACAAAAACTGCTCTAAAAATGAATTATTAGTGAATTGAAAACTAAAATGTTGGAGATTCTAAAACCAGAGGTAATCCAAAATTAGATCGTGCAGAATGTCACTATTTTCAAAAAACAAGATATTGGTACCATTGCATAACGTGTACTACAATATGACCGTAAAATCCAAAAAGTCACTTTACAAGTTAGGTAAATGTATTATTTTAAACATTTAAAAAACCATTAGGGCTTAAAGTCCAAAAAAATTAAAAATGCGATTTCCTGTTTTATCTTAAGAAAAAATTGCGAAAAATGTTTGTGTACTTTTTATGTTAACACTACGAAATTAGCTAAACAAGATTTTAAAATAAAAAAAAAAAATTCTTTATAAAAGTTTCTAAAATGTGTTTATATCATAACAAAGTATCAACCATATTTTTATGTCTTATAATAATTAACTTATCGTCGGTTAAGAGTGTAAACCTGCTAAGTCCATTTTTTTTCAGTTTTAAGAGGAAAATTTACATTACAAACTGAAAGACCTGCGGGGCAACGGTAGTTTAGTAGGTATAAAAATTACAACTTAAGGGTGGAGCCTAAATACTACAAAATTACTTCCGAGACTAAACAAAATCCGCATTCATTCATAATTTTAACAATTGCCTGTAGATACGAGGGATACGTATTCCAAACTATAACGCGCTAAGTTGAGACTCATAGGAACCTAAAAATCCTACAACAGCTGCCGACAGACGTTCATCAGTTCTTGTTCTTGAGTGAGTCAGAGTTACCTAAATTAGGGGAACCAGAATTATTTGTTTTTCTCGGTGCATTGCGAAACATTGTTATAACGCAGTTCGATTTTTTAGAGGGTTTTACATTATTTTTATATTTTAATTTAGTTAATAGGTTTAGTTAGATTAAATTAGATTTAAGAGTATAGAATTGTGAAATATAAATACAAATAACGAAAAAATAGACGATTGGTTTGAATAAGGTAATTTAATACAGGGTATTTATTAATTGAATCCTTGGGTGTTAAAGTTTTAAGAAAAAAATAACTATTTTATTTTGCCCAAAAAAAAGTGTTTTCACTCAATTTGGGTTCCTACCAAATTTCAACAAAATATCAAAAGCAGTTTCAATAAACTGGTTTTTATTTTCTTACGCGAAAAGGGTGGGTCGTACGAAAGTACGTCTATAAACCAAATTTGCTCCAAAATAAATAAGGACTTTAAAGATGATTTTGGTTTTTAGAAAAAGCAGTGGCGTACCATATTTTTGTTCAAAAATATTCAGTTCAAACCCGGTAGGACGTCACTAGAAAAAATTTAGAAGTCTTTTACGACAAAAAGGCGGGTTTGAAAGTGAAAGCCGAGAATAACGATCAAGGAGAAGCGACAGCTTGGTGTTTTTAGCGTACCGTTTTATAACGCGCATGTGCGAAAATAAGTTGTGTATCACTCAAAATGATGTTATCTGTCAAAGTCAGTCCAAGTTGTGTTTAGTACGTGAGCAATGTTAAGTGATATTTTTTGGTGTTTGTTTTGTGTAGTATTAAGATGAAGATTTTTACACACTTAGGTATTCTAATGCAGATATAAAATGTGCCAACAAAGTTACTAGGAAACTAAGAATTTTATCACATGCATAAATATTAAGTATAATGATTTAATCATTTTTGACATTTTATTTTTCATATGTAGGTATTGTATTTTGTGAAATATGTTTTCTTCTTTTAAATAAATTTAATAAACAATTAACTGGAGATTTTGTTTATTTTATTTTGAAATTATATTTAAAAAAATATAATAGATCCGCATGTTTCAATTAGGATTGGTCAAAATGGGCGAAATCCCTTTATCATGGCTTAATTGTAAGGTACAATTATGTCAATATAAAGATGTTTTGCCCATTCATATTTACATTTGTTAAATGAATCATACTGGAGTTGATTTTGGAAATATTGGTGCATACTTAAATATGTACTATTTCAAAAAATTTGTCTATGCCCAGACAGCACACATAGTCCAATGTACGTCCACTTTAGATCTATTTGAGGGTCAGGACGTCCATATCTGGGCATCCAATGTACGTCCGTTTATGCTAATTAAATTGACAGCTGAATATTGATACCCAGAGAACGTCTGTTTTTGGACTTAATTTTAAGTTTAGTAGTATTTTGACGTCCAGTGGACGTCCATCTTAGGTCATTATTTATTAAGCCTACCAGATAATACTCATCTATAATATATTCTTCTTTTTTTAATATAACTGGTCATTAAAAATTGACAAATTGAATCTATTGCATTTCATTCTATCAGCGGAAGTTTGAAATCTTATTCAATTATAACTGTATCTAGTAAAACGTTTTCAAGTGGTTCCTTGGTCGAGCTCGTCTAGCTATTGAAAGGGTAAAACGATAATGGATGTGTCGTGAGTTCGATGCCTGCTCAGATCAAGCTATTTTTAATAAAAAAGAAAATGGTGCATAGCGATTTGCGAAAATAATAAACAAATTATTAATAATATAAAATAGTATGTGATAAGTTGCGGTTCTGTAAAAAAAGTGGGGATCTGGTCTCAATGGAAATATAATCCTGGACGTTTTTTGAATGTTCAGTATTCGACGTCCAAATATATTCCAGAATTGAACGTCCTCTGAATGGTCAAAAATGTGCCATTTGTAAACTTCACTGGACGTCTATTGGATGTCGGAAGTCCAGAAAAAACTCATTCTTGGACGTCTAGACATCCAAAATTGTATATCGAATGGACGTTCAATGGACATATTTCTATTGTCTGGGTGATAGCCAGGCCAGGTATTTAACTCTAAATACATAAACCTTAAATGACATCTTGCTTAACTTGGCGAGAAAACACTTGTTTATACAGAAATGAGTGATAAACTTGAAAGTCCTTTTAATATAATATAAATCCAGAAATTCTAACAATATGTAAGTTCTTTTTAAACCTAAACGTTTTTGAAAATATAATCACATTGCAAATATTTAGTTAAATATCTTAAACCTAATGTCTTTTTAATTGTTACCTAAATTTTTTTTGGCACCCTTAATTTTATTTACCTTATTTTTACTTAAGGAAAAGGTAATTTAATTTAAATATGGGGCTTTTATTATATTTTTAACAATAAATAAACAAAATATTGAACAAATTTTATAGATAAATTATAAAATAATAAACGTCTTTTACTTTTATAATAAATAATGAATTATTACATAATGAATTATATTTTGGTGCTGAAATTTTACCATTGCTATTAACCCTAACTACTTCAATGTAATTAAATCACATAACAACATTTGCGCATGGACTATAACAATGATTTCAGATAATTTGTCAAACTATTTCGTTCAGTGTAGAAAATAAGCATGTTTTCTCAGCGTGCTAAGTTGTGTATCAATCAAAGTCATGCTGTGAAAAAGGTACATCCGATATCAAAGGCACCGACAGCTACTGTCGCTTCTCCTTGATCGTTATTCTCGGGTGAAAGTTTAGTCTGTTGGTACATAGTATACTATATTTATATATCTAATTTTTATTATTACACTGAATGTGACATGGCTTTTTTGATTGCCGTTTTTGGATTAACAAAATATTATTTTAATGATTTAAAATAAACTGCCCCAGTAATAATAATTATCTGTACTTAAACATATACAAAGTATTCATAAAACGACGCATCAAGAAAGCACCAAATTATTAAATTTTTAATTTACATAACAAGTATTAAAGTAATTTTAAAAAACCGACTTTAAAATCGTGGTGATGCCATCACCACATCTTAACCAAATTTATATGGGACCACCCCTGAGGTACCCCCTTACTAACGACAAGATTTATAGAAATCGGACAAAGTGGTAAAGAATTATCGCTAAACATACATAAAAAATGAAAAGTTTGAGGATTTTCTCATGGATCCAATTATTAGATTTTAACCAAAATTAAAAGGGACCATCTCGGAAGTATCCTCTTTCCAGCAAAAAAAAGAATTATTTAAATCGGACATTGTGTTAAAGAATTATCGCTAAACATACATAAAAAAAATATATACAGACGAATTGTGAACCTCCTCCTTTTTGAAGTAGGTTAAAAAGGATATAATAATCTATATTAATTGTATTAACTAAAAAACTACTATCTGGAGTTGTATACATTTTCTTAAATTAATCTTATATGTAAAAATGTGGGTTCGGTTCCTAAAAGAGTACCTAGTTCACTGTGCAGCCAAATTTATATTTATAATACAGAATTTTTTAAATAAATAAAGTTTTAGGTTTAATTAAACACCAAGTTTTATCAGGAATAACTTTTCTGAAAAAAGTAACATATAAAAAGCAGACTTTTTGCGAGCCACTATATATATTTTAGAGGACAATCCATATTATTTTAGAAAAATAAATAAAATTTTTGTATAATCACATAAATGTGATTTATCTTTTAGAATATTGTATATATTTGTCAAAGTTTACTATTTTTTTTTTAAAAAAGAAAAATTTTTCTTAAATTTTTTAACACGGTACATAATACCTTAATTTGTTTATAGTTATCGATTTTAAACAAGACGGAGACCGGACATCGTCGAAGAGAAACAGCGAAATTAGTAAAGAATTTTAACTTGATTAAAGAGTGTTCTTTCTCTTTCCATTTTCTATAAAAACTAATAGACCTTTCTGAAATCGGTATTCGGTGACTTTTCTTCTGATATGATTTACATAAAAAACAAAAACTGACTTATTATTTTTGTGTAATAAAAATATGTTGTTATTTTCACAATTTTCTACTACTCTTTGTTTCCAAAAAAAGTAATACGATGTTCTTCTGTAGATATTAACACATTCTTTAATTGGCTTTTAATTATTTTT